GCAGGATCCTCAGGCTTGGGAAGAGGAAAAGGGAAAGCGAGGCAGTGGAACCTATGTGAGTATCATGTCAGCTGACGTTATACACTGAAAGATTCTAATCAGAAACAGCAGAGAAACACCTCACTGGCAATTTGAAATAACAATCCCTCCAAAGTATACAGAGGCCAACTGTTTCTAATTTTTCCTTTGAAATGTGAGAGACAGTAATACAAGTGTGAATAGCGTGGGGAGGGGGCGGGGAAGATATCCTGAGATGGACATAATGACTTCTCAGGAATTTTGCTTTATCAAGCTGAGATCTGAATTACGATGGCTTGTGCCCCACTGGATTTTAAGATTAGGTTCTTTCCTTTTCACAATCAAGATGAGTGGAAACTGCTGGAAGACAACACGGTCTGCTGCTCATCCCCACCCCACCCACCCTCTCTGGCCAAGAACGAGACCCCTTTCGATGAGTCTTCTAGCACTAAGCCATCTTCACTTCAGAGCAAAACAAAAAGTGCCCACAGGAAGATCAGGAGTTTACATTCATACCAGCTTGCCAGGAAGCAAGCCAGCTGGGACTCTCTTGACCCACTGGTGGACACGCAGTGAACTTCATTTCGTTCTACTGTTGCTAAGTGAGCCTGGGTGGGAGGAGGGCAGCGGGGATGTGAAGAAGAGAATGTGAAGGAGACTTTTCCATGACACCACTGGTACGCAGCAGGCGAGCAGGGTCAGATCAGGGGCAGGGCCCGAGCATGAGTGTGTCTGTGGCCTGCATGCCTGCTCCTGCGCAGCCCTTGCAAACACAGCTGATGACTGTATCTCCCCTAAACCCCACACATTCACAGATGAGTTGTGCAAACCACTATCCCAGGGCTCCCATAAGGGGTCTCCTCTGGAGAAAGCTTTGGCAGGACTAACCCAACAAATGCAGATACAGTCAAGGGAGAGATTGCAGAAGAATAGTGTCACGATACTTCAAGTGGTTAAAAACATGTGTCTTCATCCAGTGTCTCCCAGGTACCTTGCATGGAAAGCCAGGGTTTTATGGACTCCATGAAGATGTAATATGTCACACACCCTGTCCACATCACCCAAAGCTGAACCTGGAAGCTCTGCAGCCAGAAAAAAGTAACTGCTGCTTCTAGGAGAAAGCAGGGCCATAAAACAGAGGTTGCCATCAGCAGTTACCCTTAATACTGTTAGTTTTGCCACCATAAAGAACTATTTGCTTGATGTATGCTTACAACTTCATTTAGTTCTCACAGGGTACTATTTCTACTTAACACAGGTGAGAAAACTGAGGCTTAGTGGGGCTAAGTTGGCACTAGAGTGGTGGGAACTGTGTCCAGCTCTAAATTTCCTGCTTTTCCTTCTCAGGGCAACCTCACTGTGAATCTACGGGGCTACTTTGAAATTTAGATTAGGCAACAAAAAACTGCCAATTATTATTTGTGACCGATAAAAATAGCAATTTAATACATCTCGACTTAATATCTCAGCTGAGGCTCTAGCAAAGCAGGCAGATCTGTTCCAATAACCCATAGCAACAAGACTTGGGAAGGAAAATCATTCACATTAACATGGGACATGGGATCCATTTTGTTCTTAAATTTTACTTCCATTTTGTAGTCTAATCCTTTCTCTGAGACTTTCATGTTTGCCCCATCAGCTTATCCAATATCATAGACAAACAGAGCCAAATACACTGTGTGATTGCCAATGCTTAATATGGCCACATTCACATGCTATTTGAAGAGATCTAGCTACAAAGCATTCCACTGTGTAAAGGGCAGTCAAAACCCACCCAGGCTGGGTTTGTATTCATGCCTCAAATTCAGCTGATGGCTGAATTAATAGCATTAATAAGTCCTTAGATCTTTAAATTATATATAATCTTTCATACACACTAGGTGCATCTGACTTAAATACGCAATTTTCCTTCTTAACCAATATGAAAATGGAGGCTTAAAGATATTAATCTGAAGCCAAAACATTATCAGGGCATTCCTACACAAGGCATTTATTTAGTCTGCATATTTTTCTGCGCAAAATAAAAAATTTTAACATCTTCTCTGAAAAATGTGAAGAAGGGGTCCAGTGAGCACTTGGGGGCAGCTCAAGAGGCAGCAGCACTCTGTCAACCAGACTCAATCAAAGGGTCCCATCGTTTCCAAAGGACCGTCTTGACTGGGCATGGTGGCTTACGTTCGTAATCCCAGCACTTTGGGAGGCCAAGGCAGGAGGATTCCTGGAACCCAGGTATTCAAGACCAGCCTAGACCACATCGTGAGACGTGTTTCTACAAAAAAAAAAAAAAAAGCTGGGCATGGTGGTATGAGCCTGTAGTCCCAGCCTCTTGGGAGGCCGAGGCAGAAGGATCCCCTGAGCCCAGGAGGTTGAGGATGCAGTAGGCTGTGATCGTGCCACTGCACTCCAGCCTGGGGGACAGAGTATGACCCAACTGGAAAAGAGAAAAAAGAAAGAATAGCTTATCCCTTGGTAAAGGTACAGAAAACTTCACAGGGTAAGGAGAATAAGGAGGAGACTCTCCAGACAAGGCGAGAGGGGAAGGAATGAGAAAAAGGAGACAAATTACCAAGATAAAGAACCCAGGAGATGAGGAAGACACGGACAGGACTTTTCCTGTGACTCAGACCAAAGGACAGGAAAGCATATTTCCAAGATGACCCATGAGCATTCCTTTGGAGAGCAGGGTTTGTCAGGTCAGTCCAACTGCTGTGTGCACACTAAATATAGGTACTAAGAACGTGTCTTTTAGGAAGGGGCTGGAAGGAAGGGGAGGGAGGCAGGGTGAGGGAGGGACTGAGTACTTTGGCTGGTTGATTTAAGGGCAAGGTCATTTCCAAGTCCTTACTTACAAGGTCAGGCACTCTGGCTGTTTCTTTTTGAAAGTGAAATTTCTCTTTCTGCAAAGAGCTTGAGGAAAATGTTTAATTTTATTAATGGCTGACTCCCCAAAGTTTATATAGTCAAGGACCACTTTTTTATTAAATCTAGGAAATTAAAGAAAATGCTTGACTCTGTGGTCATCTTTGGCTACAAGTAGAAAAATTATAAAACAGCATCATGACTGAAGAATAGCTTTTAAATAGCAAAACAAAGAACAAAACCAACCAACCAAAACTACCCAAACTTAAATTACTACTGTTATAGGCCAAGGCTCTGGGAATGGGGATTTCTTACATTTCTCATATTTGATTTGACGTTGTTTATCTAAACCTATCAAGGTAGTTTCTTTGATTGTTGTAACTTCCCATCCTCCCTTAAGGAACTATCAGCATGAACAGATCTTGGGTCATGCTGAACTGCCATAGGCCTTGTCAATTTGGTCTGGGGGCTGGTGAAGGGATTGGGGATCTTGAGTCATGGCTTTGCTAATTTACACAGGGAGGTATGTGAGGGGCTATGGAGTACAAACTCTGAGTGAGCTGTACTGCCAGAGAGTGAGCTTTTTTGGATGAATACACTTGCTCCCCGATTCCATTATATCAGATTAAATGCCCATTTCTCTCAGCCCTCTGCCTCGTGTCTCTGAATGACTCAAGGGAGAGAGCAACCGGTCTGTTAGGCTGGAACACTACTGCAAGAGCTACCAAAAAAATTCTAACAAGAAGATATGAAAAGACACACCATGTTTTCCTGTCACAAAAGCCAATGTAAAACATGTTTATTTAAGATCCCTTCCTTCTTTGTGAACATCAGAATTCTTGTTTCGATCTTTCCATAGACCCACCTCTCTTAGGAAATAGTTGCTGGGAACTGTGGATTATTACACAAGTTTAAGCCATTTTATATACTTACATGCTTTCTTTTTCCACTTTCCCAATCCCCCAGGTCTAAGTTTATCTGGAAATATTTCAGGTTTTTTCTTACGGGGGAGAACTATTTGACTTAGTCTATACAACAGTGCTTGTCAGCTCCGTATTTTTAAGATTTCCTTCTATGAGTCCTTCCCACACCCAAGGAGGTAGGCATGACAAGGCTGTGGCAGGCAGTGGCCCCTAATCAAGGGCCACACAGGTGGCCCAGAGACTGTCACCTAAATACAGTTGTAAGGAAACCATTGCCCAGGGAAAGCAGAGAAGGAACAAGTCATTGCCAACCCCAGCAGCAGCCTCAAGGTCATCTATCTGGAAGCCAACACTTCCTCTCTCTTTAGTTCCTCCAGACAATGATTTCTACAAGAAGCAGACAGTAAATTCATGTTTGCTGTTGTTCTACTGCCTTGGCCTGTCAGCGTTAGGTGTGGACACACACAGCTAAATGTGCCAGTTTGCATTTTTCTATGATAATCTTTTTGTTCACCCAAGTTTTCAGAACTGAAGGAAATAGTTAACTGAACTGCAAAGTGGATTTAGAAAGCTGGCAAATGAGATTAAATTAATGAGTATAAATATTGAGAAGTGAAAAGAGAGTGACTTTTTCAAGGTCAAACTGCAAAGCCACAGCAGGTGGGAGAATAGGTCCCAGCTCCTCTTCCTGTGAGGAGTTGTCCACTTCAGAGTTTCTCATTGTCCCTAAAACTAAGTTAGTCTTTAAAACAGGAGCCAAAGTGACTGTTTTAAGGGACTTATCTGGGTCATAGTCCCTTCAAGAAGTGACAAAAACGTGTCAGCGCTGGAAAGACCCTGAAATGATTCCACATACACCCCTGGGAGCACCAGGGATGAGGTGATGGGTGGGGGGAGGGCTCAGAACTCCATCTGTTCACAGTCACACAGCTGGTGAGTGGTGGACATAGAAGACCGGGGCTCTTCACCCTGTCACTCTAGGTCTGTGCACCTAAGATGTCTGCAACCCGGGAGTCTGCCCTGCAATGCGGGTAGAAGATCTGGCGGCAGCAGAGAGAAATTCCTCTTTTTCTTTTTCATGCTTGGTGTAAAACTAACTTATAGAGCAATTTTCAAAAAAAAAAAAAAAATTGCACTCAGCTGAAAAAGTGACCTTCATTTTACCTCTGGAGGAATGGCACCTACTAGTGCTGACTTTACCTGGGGGGGCCACACGGTCCTGGTATGTAGGCTTAAGTTCACTGATGGTGAGCAGCATCACTTGGATGGTTCCGATGAAGATGCCGGCCAGGCAGCCATAAAATATGACATAGAAGAGCAGGATCTTAACTGCAGGAGGACAGACAGAAACAGAAAGGCTGTGAGGCAGTCACATGCTCGGAATGGAAGTCTGATCCCCCCAGAGATGAACGGACTTCCTTCCTGGCTTCCCCTCCACCCTATTTCTCTAGAGTGTCCTTTTCCAATATTGACAAGAGCGTGAATCCCTCCCCGCCACATGGAGTAAAAATGGGACAACAGACAGTCCTCCATTATCGTGTGTGTGGGAAGTGGAGGGGTAGAAGGGTAGGAGGAACCTTCAGCTAAAACTAGGATCCTTGTAAAAAAAAAATTTCATTCCTAAATTAATATCTCAAGAAGATCCCACCAGTAAGATCCAGGGATATGTCTGTGTGCTTATGCAATGCAATTAAAACATTACAATATATTCCCTTAGAGACATGTTTTCTTGCTTGCCTATCACCTGACATTTAAATACTACAATCCTAGCTCTGCAGCTTCTCCAAAAGCTCAGATGCCTGAGGGTTCTTAATGCTGTGACAGAGCAATGAATGCTGAGAAACCCAGCAAGGCTCTCCTGCTCTTGACTATCACCCTACCTTAGATTTGTATTCTTGATTAAGCACACAGCCTCTCCTCTTGAGGGACAAGACCGGGGGACAAAAAGAAAATCCTACAGCAAACAGGACCAGCACATTTCAATTTCACCCTCTGACGGAAATCAGAATAACGATGGACTTGATGATCTGCATTTTCTTTTTCCCATAGTTAACAACTAACCAGGATGAAGGATGAAATAGCTGCAAAGGAAAAAAACAAAACCACCCAACATGTAGACTAGAGGGAGGCTGGCTATCAGTTACTGGTTTATGAGGATTATCTCCTTGATTAGCCGCATAGTAACAGGCTGTACTAGGCATCGCCTGGTAGCCCTGTGCCGGCCAAGCAACTCGGGGTGAACGCAAAAGTGGGGACAAGTGAACTGTGAGGTTACTGAGTCAGAAACAGGACTGCCTGGGGAGCCTGAGTTATCTGTGATGAAGGTCCAGGTCTCATGCATTAAACGCCGGAGCACTTGGGAAAAAGTCACAGAACAAAAGGACTATTTAAATGGAGAGTATGTAGGAGGAGGAGGACAAGAGAGGAGAACACAACTGCGGGAATCTGCCACGGTGTCCCCTCCATACATCTCAAAGTCCAACTTTCCTCCCAGGCTCTAAAGAGTTAAGGGAAATCCATCCACAGAGTTGCTAAAACAAGCAAAACACATAAAACCCACACTAAGATGCTTCATTAGAATCCTTTTTCATTTCTATCAAAACAAAAGAAAAAGGAGAGTGGCAAAGAAGACACAATCCAAGATAAGGAAGGAAGAAAAGGTTGTATAATCCAGAACTACCATGGCTCCCTCCCAGCAGGAAAAGGGTTAAGTGCTGCATTCCGTATCCAGGCAGCAGTAGGCAAATGACAAGGCTGTGACGTCAAGAGATCTGGAAAAATTTTCCAGCGAATGCCCCTAAGAGGTGTAGTGGGGAGAACAGTCAGCAAGAGAGCTGTCGTAGCCTTGGTTCATGGTATCTCTTTTCTCCTGCGTCCCCCACCCCCAGCTGGGTGCTCTTGGCTTCACATTTGCCCCTTCTAGCAACAGGAACATTAGTTCTACAGGCATTCTCTGGCCTCCAGACACCTAATTCTATCAAAAGAAGGTGCACAATTGAGGCTACAGCTTAAAACACAAATAGAGCAATAGAAAAATAAGGCATTTTGCAAGCACACCGATGAAGCTCACAAACGTGCTTTATCAGCCCACATGATATCCTTAGAAAAGTGAGGAATTTTCCTCTTTTTGCTCCAGGCTGTCATGTCGCAAAATCTCCCCAGCTACTGCTACAAGGTCACTTGGACAGAGTGGAGCATGCAGGACCAGAAGGGCCTATGCAGTGGGCTCACCCAGATAGGCTACTAAAAAAAAGTATAGGTAAGTCACACCAGCTAGCTGGGGTGGCAAGATGGGAGGCATCTTCCCTTTCAAGCAATTTTTCTTCCTTTAAAAAAAAAATTATATATATATATATATATATATATATATATATATATATATATAAAATCATATATCTGATTTAAAATAAAAATTGTGCCCTTCAAAGGGTCAAAGACAGAAAGAAAAAATGGCATCCAAGCCTAGCTGTAAATATATAAATATATAAAAACCTACTGATGTCTGTTTCACCTAATAAGAAGGTGGAAATCATAGAGTAATTTGCACGCTGTGATTTCTCCAGCAGGCGACAGGCAAGTCTCCTGCGTCCATCTTGGTGAAAATCTACCTATCAGCAAAACTGAGCCAAGGGCATCCTGCCCTGGCCCCAAGGGCATCCATGTCGGGCCCAGGACTGGAAAAGGGACATTTTCTCCACAGAAGACAGCAACTGCTGCCCCTTTCTCCGCCTGCCTGCGAGAGGCCCTGTCATTTCTCACATTGCTAGAAAGGAGCAAACACATCAGCACAAAATCAAAATGGGATTTTGAGTCCAGCACCTGCACCCTGGAAAACGGAAGGGAAGAGGCCTGCACACCAGCCCGGGTGTCTACATTCATAAATCAGCATGCTGATACCGCTGGATGTGGCATCAAGGCACAAATATTAACACACAAACACACACACACACAGTCTCTTTCTCTATCATGGAGGTGCTGCCTCTTAAATGTCAGCTTAAAGAATGAGTCCATCCGTACTGCCTTACCCTCTAAAGCAAATATTATTCTAAGAACAAGTATGGACTTGGAATGAGGAAAGAGACCTATTTTATGAAGGAGAAAAACGCAAGAAGGCAAATTTCACAACGTGCCTAAAATCAATGCAGCCCCAGCACCCGTGACGCGTGGGTCGGACCACCAGGGAAGGAAGCTCCAGCTAGCTAGGGAAAAGGGCGCCCACACCGCCATGCACCCCCAGGCCTCCCTCGACTCGCAGGGAGCTGGCTGGGTACTGTTCCTACACCCCTCTCCCAACAGTTCCTCTGGTTTTCCCTTCCATACTAAAAAAACACAGAGAGTCTGAGACACCTTGACAATTGCCTTAATGAAGAACACAGTCTGCCCAAAACAATATGAAATACAAGATAAAAGATAAAAGCTGTTGCTTTAAAGAATGAATTTCCTAAACATCAAGGGTACCTATGCTTCCCAGTAATACCTTGGAATGAGGCTTCACCTTGACTAACCTTGACATGTGATGCATTATTAACCCTTTACTTTTCAAGCAAGAGAGACTCACTACAGCTGCATTTACTTCTTTACAAAAAACTATCTCTTCTAGCCTCTTCCATTTCAAAATGTCAGCTAAGCATATTTCCCTGACTCATTCTCCAGCTGTTTCCCACAGATCCTCAACCAGAACACCAATCAGCCCCCATTTAGGGCTCCCTTAGTGACTGCAGTGGTGGTGCTAGTGGTGTTGGTGGTGATGATGATGATGATGATATTAGAGGAGGAGGGGGCAGTGATACAGTGGGGGGAGTTCCCCCCTCCCTTCCATAGTCACGACTCATAGATTCACCTACAACTCTGCCCTTCAAAATGACCTTTAAAAAAAAAAGTCACCCTTCCAGAAAAGAGCCAGAAACAAGCAAGACATGTCATTTTCAATGGGTGCAAAATAGGTTATCCAACCAAGCAACAGGCTGCACAAAATCCGTTAAGATGAGCCGCTTCTGCGTTTATTTCTTAGACTATCTTCGCCGTCATCAACCCAAGCCACTGATCCGCATCTGTCGGTGTAGACCTTGACAACCACCAGATTTTGCCATGTTTCGAGCTAGGCCTGATGGGGCGCTTACTGGGCCACTTCTGGGCTGTGATGCCTCCGGGAGAGGTCCCCGGGAAACCCTGGCCATCGCCGGGAAACACTGCAGTGTGGACGGACTCCTCCCCACCCTGCCCTTCCCTCCCTCTCTCGGTGCATATTTAGACTAGAAGATGCTGTAACACACAACCTCCACAGCGTTAGATCCGATTACTCATGAGGTTCTCGCACACAGCCCCAAATCTCATTTTTCTACGGACTTGGGACTTGACTGCAAGGTGAGGCATGTCTAGTCTCCTAGAGCCCGACCATTCCCAGGAGGAAGGCTCGGCGACACACCGCAGGAAGGACTGCAGATGACCAGACAGGATCTCTGCAACGCACGGAACCCCCGGTCGGCTCGTTCCAGCCCCAGCCCACGCCCCATCCCGGGGACTCTGCACCCGGCGCGGGATGACAAGCAGCGCCCACCGCCGCAGCCCCCGCCCTGTGCGGAGCCGTCCGCGGGGCCCTCGCGGGAACCACGAGGAGCGAGGGGCGAGGGCCGCGGACCCCGCACTTACACCAGCTGCCACCAGTCCTGCCCAAAAACTCCTTCTTCTCCGAGTTCCAGATGAATTTCTTCCAGCTGCCCTCCTCCTTGGCTTTCCCGCGGGCCATGACGACGGCGGGTCAGCGGCAGCGGGT